AATCAAGCAGGAGAAAGCTGGTAGGCCCACATGTGAGAGAATGGATCTGTGTGGTCAGTGTGCACCATATAAAAAAAAAACCTGCAGCACGCAGTGCTTAATGAGAAAAAAAACTCCGACTGTTTTCTTTTTAATTAAAATGCCGACTTTGTGGTCTATTTTCGTATAGTATTTATGGTTGTATTCTCGTTTTCTTGGTCTCATTTGATAGAATGGAAAACATATTAGCCCTCCATGCGTCTTGGCCCCCAAGTGGCTCCAAGTTCTCCCAATCGATCTCCTTGTGGTTAAAGTCACCCTTGATTTTGATTGGTTTTACTATGAAAAGAACCTGGAAATGAAGCTCAAAGTAGGGGAAATGTTTGATTTTTGCCAATGTTCAAAAGTAAACAAATGATGTCATTTTCCAGTAAATGTCCAAGTAGCCATTCTAATCTGCAGTCATGAATGGGTTGACATTATTTATACAATTATTAGAATATTGCAGTAGTCTGCATAACAGTAAATCTTCTATTTTTTCTTTGAATAAAAATTCAAAATAGAAAACAAGAGTAATATCAGAGGGGCCTGGAGACGTGACTGATGAACAAAGAAAATGTTATTTTAGAGCCAGGAATGTCTGCATTGTTCATTCTGGACCCTATTTTCAAATTGACATATTTTTTAATTTTCTTGAAATTGGCCAAATTGCAAATTTCTGACCACATTATTAAGTAGTTGAAATCGGTAAATGGGCAGTTTCTTGTACTCAATCGATAGGAAAAATGGAGTTCTAAAGAAATAGCTATGAGTTTGGTTGACTGGAATAATGGAATTAGCCAAAAATAGGGCTCAAAGTGGATGAAATCGCCGATTTGTAAATATCGCCTAGGTCGCTAACCTCGCGAAATTGTAATTCCGTCAGTTTTCCATCAAATTTTGTTCTTTTAGTGTCATTACAATCAGGAAAAGATTCTCTATCATTTCACAAGAATTTTTTGGGGGGGGGGGGGATTTTGCGACACCAGGAGACACCTCAGGATTTGGGGTTGCGACAGTCAAGAAGTTAAATTCTAATACCCTTTTGTTACTTTTATATTTCACAGTCACCACTTTACCTCATAGCCTTAATTGTTTTTAATCACTACAAAATCTCTTTACTATTGCTCTTTATTATTACCTCTACTTTTTTTTTTACATAATTGTAATTTACCATATCGTTGCCCTATTTTACCATTTATAATCCTCTTAATATCTATTTTTACAGTTTTATTTTATTTTACTTTTTTTTTTATTTTTGTTGCCAAATATTCCAACTTACAATTGATTAATATCTGTTATTAATATTTGTTGTTTACCATCTTATTATAATGTCACTGTGGTACTCTGCAGATGTTTATCACTGTGAGGGGTTTTTGCAGGTCTTTTGATTTAAATTTAGCTATAATATATTCTCCATGTTCATCCCTTGTGCAAGAATTATTGATACATTCAAGTTTATCCGAGTAGTATACTAGAGCTGTTTCACCCCCTTGCTGGTCTGTCCTACAGTTGTGTATGGCTGTGTAACCAGGAATGGCATAGACATCTATAGTACCAGGCTTTAGCCAGGTTTCTGTGAGTGTGATGATTGACATACTGGTATGCAGGGAATTGAGTAATGCTGTGAGGTCATCTTAATGTTTGCTCAAACATCTGACATTGTAATTAAAGAAACACCTGCCATCTGACTTATGACCTGCTCAACATACAACCACTCAACTTACGACCTTGTTTTTTATGTCAAATTTTTGGGAAATAAACAAGTGTTTGTGTTGTACACAGTGTTTATCCTAAACCTTACAGTATAAAATGCAGTACTAACAGCATAAAAAGTAAAGTAAAAAATGAAATACCAAAATAAAACAATAAAATAAAGCCATTACAAAAATGTGATGTTGATATGCAGTAGTAAGGTTCGACTTGCGTCCATTTCGACGTTAGGACCGGTTGGTCGGAACCAAGCTCGGTCGTAAGTCGGATGGTACCTGTTATGTTATTGTTGGCTCTGAGTAATGTCTTTGCTTGGTCTGCTGTAAAATAATTACAGTTGCTGTTCGATTCGTGTAATTTAAACCATACCCCCGGCCGGGATTGAACCCGCGGTCATAGAGTCTCAAAACTCCAGCCCGTCACGTTAGCCACTACTGGCTAACGCGACGGGCTGGAGTTTTGAGACTCTATGACCGCGGGTTCAATCCCGGCCGGGGGTATGGTTTGTTTGCAATCGTGTCATTACGATTTCTTGAGTCGTGTAATTTAGTTAATAAAAGGTTGATATCAGGATCAATGCTTGTAATTATAAGTTTGAGAGTGACTCTACAACTAGACTTTTGAATAAATTACAGTACAGTGGACCCCCGCATAACGATTACCTCCGAATGCGACCAATTATGTAAGTGTATTTATATAAGTGCGTTTGTACGTGTATGTTTGGGGGTCTGAAATGGACTAATCTACTTCACAATATTCCTTATGGGAATAAATTCGGTCAGTACTGGCACCTGAACATACTTATGGAGTGAAAAAATATCGTTAACCGGGGGTCCACTGTATTATGTTAAACTTAATAATTATGATACTAAACTAATTTATCTTAATAGCTAATGGATTGTTCCAAGTAGTTTTAAAAAATACAGAGATACAGTTTACTCTTCATATGGCACAGATTTGATGATTTAATATTGAACGGTTATAGTTTTAGAGTTTGACAAAAGTTGTAGATTTAAAATAGAAGTTTACTGAACACAATAAAATTGCTTCGCATTGGAAGTGATAATTAACCCTATCAGGGTTTCCAACGTATTAGTACGTCTTACGCACCAGGGTTATTGACGTACTAGTACGCCTAAATTCTAGTGCCTTCAAATCTAGCGAGAGAAAGCAGTAGGCCTACATATGAAAGAATGGGTCTATGTGGTCAGTGTGCACAGTATAAAAAAATCCTGCAGCACACAGCACGTAATGAGAGAAAAAAAAACTTTGACCATGTTTTTGGCTTAACCCTTTCAGGGTCCAAGGCCCAAATCTGGAGTCACGCACCAGTGTCCAAGAATTTTCAAAAAAAAATTTGTTATTTTTTCTTATGAAATCGTAGAGAATCTTTTTGTGAAGGTAATAAAACAAAAAGTACGAAATTTGGTGGAAAATTGACGAAATTATGCTCTCGCAAATTTTGATGTGTCAGCGATATTTACGAATCGGCGATTTTGCCGACTTTGACTCCCATTTTAGGCCAATTACATTATTCCAATCAACCAAATTCTTAGCTATTTCACTAGTATTACTTCTATTCTATCGATTGAGCACAAGAAATCGCCAAGTCAACTGTTTCAACTACAAAATAAAGTGATCGGAAATTGTTAATTTGGCCAATTTAACACAAAGGTCAAAATATTCCAATTTCAAAATTGGGTCCAGAATGAACAATGTAGGCATTCCTGGCACTTAGACGTGTGAGGTCGTTTGTTTACTCTTGAATATCGGCAAAAATTTAACATTTCCGCTACTTTGAGCTCAGTTTCAAGCCATTTCCAATGCTAAAACCAATCAAAATCATCTCTATTTCTGTAATATGTCTTCCATTCTATCAAATGAGACCAAGAAATCGCAAATACAACCATAAAAAACATACGAAAAAACACTGCAAAGTTGCTGTTTTAATCGAAAAATCATGATTTCATTTTTTTTCTCTCATTATACACACTGTGCTGCAGGATCTGTTTTATGTGGTGCACACATACCACATAGATGTATTCTCTCATATCTAGGCCCAAATGTACCACTCACAGTTTATCAGAGTGAGCTGAGCTCATGGCGTAGATCTACGGTTTGGACCCTGAACGTAAAGCCGTAGATCTACGGGACGGACCCTGAAAGGGTTAAAACAGCGAATTTGCTCTGTATTTTCGTATGGTATTTATGGCTGTATTCTAGTTTTTCTGGTCTCATTTTATAGAATGGAAGACATACTACAGAAATTGAAATGATTTTGATTGGTTTGACAATGAAAAGTACCTAGAAATTGAGCTCAAAGTAGCAGAAATGTTTGATTTTTTCCAAAGCTCAAAAGTAAACAAATGCCACGCGTCCAATACACGTCAACTGGTGAGTCTAATATTCTTTCACAAGTGCGCCGATATTATTTATACCATTTCTACAGTAATGCAGTAGTCTGCATAACAGTAAATCTATTGTGAGAATAAAAATTTGAAGTGGAAAGCAAAAGAAATGTAAGAGGGGCCTGGGGACGTGACTGATGAACAGAGGAAATGTTATTTTAGTGCCAGGAATGTCTGTCTTGTTTATTCTGGACCCTATTTGGAAATTGGCATCTTTTGAAATTTGTGTGGAATTGGCAAAATTGCCAATTTCTGACCACTTTATTGGATAGTTGAAATAGGTAAATGGATGGTTGCTTGTACTCACTCGATAGAAAAAATGGAGTTCTAGCAAAATAGTTATGATTTTTGTCGACTGGTACACTGGAATTGGCCGAAAATAGAGCTCAAGGTGGGCGAAATCGCCGATGCGTAAACATCATCGAGACCGCTAACTTTGCAAGGGCATAATTCCGTAAGTTTTCCATCAAGTTTCATACCTTTGGTGTCGTTATGATCAGGAAAAGATTATCATTTCATCAGAAATTTTTTTTTTTTCCGAAAAATTTTCGACCCTGAGAACAAGTTTAGGAGAGGACCTCTCGACCCTGAAAGGGTTAAGTTAAAAGTCTGCAGGTAATGGTAGTTATAAAAGAAAAATAAGAAACAAAACTAATATGTAGTTTATAATAGTAGATTAAAATAAGTACAGTAATTATAAAATGCAGGGATTATGCTAACTCTTATTATGGCACAAGTTTGACAATATAATATTGCACTGGTTATCAGTAATAAATTCTGTGAGCTTAGTTGTGAGAAATAAAGTTTCTTCAGAATTTAATACTGGTTTTACTCTATGTAGTACATGTGATTCATCCAAAGGCTCAAATGAGCACATATGGTGAGGAGGCAAGCAAAGCTAAAGATGTGGCACAGTTGCAGGAAGAGATGTTAATAGAATATGATATAGTGAGTGTTAAAACTGCCATTATAATTATTAGTACTGTTCATTATAGTTTTAGTTAACCCTTAAACTGTCCAAACGTAGATCTACGATTTTTCAACATTTGAAAGTATGTAAAAAAATGTAGAGCTTCTTTTTCTTTTTTTTACATTTGAAAGTGTTTAAAAAAAGCTTTGATCTACATTTTTTTTGTTATACAGTATTTGAAAATACACCTACCATCCGACTTACGACCGAGTTCGGTTCCGAGAAACCGGTCGTAAGTCAAAATGGTCGTAAGTCGAACTTTACTACTGAATATTAACAAAACATTTTTGTAATGACTTTATTTTATTGTTTTGTTTTGGTATTTCATGTTTTACTTTACTTTTTATGCTGTTAGTACTGTATTTTATACTGTAAGGTTTAGGATAAACACTGTGTACAACACAAATAGTTGTTTATTTCCCAGAAATTTAGCATAAAAAACATGGTCGTAAGTCGAGTGGTCGTAAGTCGAGCAGGTCGTAAGTCGGATGGTAGGTGTATGTAAAAAAACGTAGATCTACTTTTGGAGCAGTACGCATGTGAACGTAGATCTGTTTGGACAGTTTAAGGGTTAAAAAGATAAACGTGTACATTTTGGCATGCATATGTAAGTTTGCTACAAGTGTTTTAGTCATTATTTAACCCTTTCAGGGTCCATGCCGTAGATCTATGACTTTACGTTCAGGGTCCAAACCGTAGATCTACGCCATGAGCTCAGCTCACTCTGATAAGCTGTGAGTGGTAAATTTGGGCCTAGATATGAGAAAATATATCTATGTGGTATGTGTGCACCACATAAAACAAATCCTGCAGCACACAGTGTATAAGGAGAAAAAAACTGAGACCGTGATTTTCGATTAAAACAGCGATTTTGCAGTGTTTTTTCGTGTGTTTTTATAGTTGCATTTGCGATTTCTTGGTCTCATTTGATAGAATGGAAGATATATTACAGAAATAGAGATGATTTTGATTGGTTTTAGCACTGGAAATGGCTTGAAACTGAGCTCAAAGTAGCGTAAATGTTAAATTTTTTTGATGTTCAAGAGTAAACAAACGACCTCACACATCTAGTACACGCCAGCTGGTGGGTCTAATATACATTCACAAATGTGGTGATGATATTTATACAATTATTACACTATTGCTTAATAGTAAATAATCTATTTTTTGGTTTGAATAAAAATTCATTGTGAATAAAAAATCAAAATGGAATTCATTTGTAAAGCCTCAAAACATAACTAATGAACAGAGGAAATGTTAGTTTAGTGCCAGGAATACCTGCATTGTTTATTCTGGACCCTTTTTGAAATTGGAATATTTTGAACTTTGTGTAAAATAGGCCAAATTACCAATTTCCGATCACTTTATTTTGTAGTTGAAACGGATAACTTGGCGATTTCTTTTGCTCAATTGATAGAATAGAAGTAATACTAGTGAAATAGCAAAGAATTTGGTCGACTGGAATAATGTAATTGGCCTAAAATGGGTGTCAAAGTCGGCAAAATCGCCGATTCATAAATACAGCGGACCCCCGCTTAACGATCACCTCCCAATGCTACCAATTATGTGAGTGTATTTATGTAAGTGCGTTTGTACGTGTATGTTTGGGGGTCTGAAATGGACTAATCTACTTCACAATATTCCTTATGGGAACAAATTCAGTCAGTACTGGCATCTGAACATACTTCTGGAATGAAAAAATATCGTTAGCCGGGGGTCCACTGTATTGCTGACACATCAAAATTCGCGAGAGCATGATTTCGTCAGTTTTCCATCAAATTTCGTACTTTTTGTTTTATTACCTTCAGAAAAAGATTCTCTACCATTTCATAAGAAAAAATAACAAAAATTTTTGGACCCTGGTGCGTACTTTGAAATTTGGCCTCTGGACCTTGAGAGGGTTAATGTTGAGACTCAAGAAAAACATTATTAATAATTGTTTTTTGCCCATTTTAATACTGAAAGATATTTAAAATTTTCATAATACTCATACAAAGTACATCTCTTTACCACTTAAGTGTATGCACACCTATTTAAGCATACACTCATGAAATTTGGACAAAGTGGCTAAGGAAATTTCCAACAAAAATTATTGAATAATTACAATACTGTATGTTTATTAGTTCACAAATTTATGGGTTTTAAGCTTTGAGCCATTTTTTCTCAGCTTTTAACAGATAGTGCTTACTGGGTTTCAGCAGTATGTATGTATCTCATTTGCATACATTGGGACATTCAGTGTTTAACATGTGAGTTACCTTTATCAGGAAACCCCTCAGCATCGCAGAATGGTCCTGGGCTGGTGTTGGAGTGTGACAGCGAGGGACTATCTGATGCACAGGTTTGCAAGATCCAGAAACTCCAAGATGACATACTGAAGCTTCAGCTCATGCTTAGGAATGGAACCGTGCAGGTATTATAGCTTAGTTGATTATGTGATCTTTTTTATTATATTTTTGTTCTATTATCTGAACTGTTTGTAGTGTTCCATCTTCTATTTTTAGTTAATTTAGTGTTTTAATGTTCCAGTGATTATAATACATTCTCTTGGATTCCATTGTAGTCATCTAACATTCAACTTATGAAGAAATACTGAACTCTTAACATCCTTGAAGCCTGGTTTTCTTAAAGTGTAATTGTGGCCTCTTGTTCTCCCTCTTATGAGAGTACTTAAATGCAAATTTAAGGAGGGGGCGAGCAAAATCACCACTTTTTTTTTTGTCAGATTTCAATGAGATTTTGACAGTGGATTATGCAGCATAAAAAATCATATAGACTGTTGATAAATTAGACACATGTGCAACTCTTGTATATCTTTATTAAGGAAACGTTTTGCCACACAGTGGCTTCATCAGTCCATACACAGGAGAAACTTGAAGAACAGGAGAAGAATGAGGTAATCAGTCCCTCAACCTTGAGTCGATCTGGTCAGTCCATCAATCTTGAATAGGATGCGGCATATGAGCAGAGAAGCAGCTTATAAACCGTAGGCAGGAGAGGTGCAGCAGTCATAGGTGGTGTCACATTTGCCCAATGTGGAAGTAGGTCGTGCCCAAGGGTTAGGCAAGCGAAGAATTCCCAAGTATTAAGATCCCAAGAAGTTGCAGTGTCTGACAGGATTGTAGATAAATGGTTCACAGAACCGACATGTTGATAAATTAGACACATGTGCAACTCTTGGGTATCTTTATTAAGGAAACGTTTCACCACACAGTGGCTTCATCGACTCAAGGTTGAGGGACTGATTACCTCATTCTCCTCCTGTTCTTCAAGTTTCTCCTGTGTATGGACTGATGAAGCCACTGTGTGGTGAAATGTTTCCTTAACCCTTAAATGGTCCAAACGTATATATACGTTCACTCGCGCAGCACCCCGAATATTTTGAATTTTTTTTTTATAGAAAAAAGAGCACATTTTTTAAGTGTTTTAGCATAAAAAAAAATTTAGGGTCAGTACTTACCGAGGTATGAGGCCGCGAAGTTGGCACTTGGCGATCACCTGACGGCAACATGGAGCACTGCTGCTTGCAGAAATTCAACATATTTACCGTTTTCTTCCATTTTTTTTTTCATTTTCTTGGTTTTCATGATATGATAATTATGTTTCATAGTAAGTCATTTGATATCAATGCCAATTTTTGTTTATACACCAATATTACATACAAAATTTTTATCATATTGTCATAAACACACATGTACACACTGACAGGTGATTTTGCACACCTGGCTGAATCACACATTATTATCTACAACTATATACAAGTATTTACATGCCCCACTTATGTTTCTAGAACTCCACAATTGTATGATACTTCATGAAGCATGGATTCATACAGAGTGCCACCCCACACTGGTGACACATGAATCGTGTCCTTCTGCTGTTGGGGTCGTTTTTTGGTGGTAGCACACACAATACACTTTTTCTGGGCATTCTTCTTCTTTTGGGTAGGTGGTATTGGTACCAGATAGTGACATTTAGGAGTGATTCGGTCTGGCACTTCCCCCACTGGCTGTGGTTGGGGACAGATTGTGGTGTGACAGGTCACTGTTGAGGGGAAGGTACAGGTGTGGTACCATACTTTCTTGCTATCTGTTTGACGAGATTCAGAGAGAAATCTGCAAAACGTTGTCGTTTTCCAGTCTTTACTTCGTACATATTGAATGCATTGAGCACTGCAATGTCTACAAGGTGAAAAAACAGTTTTATATCCACTTGCGACTCCTATGCACACAGTCAACAAACCCTATCATCATGTCACACTTGTCAACTAGTCGCATGTTGTTTGTATAGTCCACGACAGCAAGTGGCTTCACAATAGGTTCGTTGTTGAACTTGCTCAGTCTGTCTGTTTGTACCATCTCATTTCTGTGGATGGTTGATAGCAGTGTCATGTCTCGTTTGTCATGCCACGTCAGTGCCATGATGTCATTAGCATGAAACGCTTGCACTTCACCTTCAACACTGCCTCCAGTGAACCTTGGCATATGTTTCCTATTCCTTCTCACTGTTCCACATATATCAGTATTGTTCACACGTAGGAAATCAGCAAGCATAGGGCTTGTATACCAGTTGTCTGTGTACAATGTATGGCCCTTGCCAAGGTATGGTTCCATCATCCTGTGAACAACATCACCGGAAATGCCCAACATCCTTCTGTCATCATTGAGTGTGTTTTTCCCTGTGTATACAATTACATCCAACACAAGACCACTCTCACAGTTACACATAACAAAAAGTTTTATACCAAAGCGATTGCGTTTGCTTGGTATATATTGCTTGAATGACAGGCTTCCCTTGAACAGAATCAAGGACTCATCAACAACAATGTTCTTGAAGGGATAAAAGTATGCACTGAATTTCTGCTTCAAATACATTAACACTTTCCGGATTTTGTATAGAAGGTCATTTCTGTCTGGCGTATTTCTGTCTGCGAGGTGCAACATACGTAGCAACAGAGTAAATCTGTTGCAGGGAAGGAGGTCACGGAAAACTGGAGTACTGATGAAGTGGTCTGTAGACCAGTAATTACGTATATTGTTCTTATAGATATGTGGCATAAGCATGACAGTGGCAAGGAATAAATACATTTCAGCCACTGTTGTGTCTTTCCACCTGTGCAGCCGTGATGATTCTCCAACCTTTGTTGTGTTGTTCATGACATATTGGTAATAAATGTTTGTCTGAGTCACTATCAAGTTCATTATAGGCTCGTCAAAGTACAACTGGAAATAGTCTAACTCTGTAGACTCATTCGTTATGGGACATTCTGGCTGGATACCACTTCCACTAGCATCAAAATCACAAGGCTGTGGCACGAATATACTTTGTGTCCAGTTCCACTCACGATCACATGGTGCAGGGTGGACCTGTGGCATGGGGCGAGGGGGGGCAGGAGGAGGAGGGAGAGGAGTGGAGGCAGCACATGGTTGAGGGGGTGCCAGGCGGTCCTTTGTCTGTCCACCCACTGCGCCATGTGGTCCAGGCACCATGCCACCCACCACTACTTCCTCTATCCCCACATACTCCCCTTCGTGATCACTTTCACTATCAGTGGCCGGGGTTTTGGACCGTGACCTGCCACAACCCTTGGGGATTGCATATGGCACACTGCCTGAACATAGATAACGACGCCTAAAAGTACGTTTCACTGGTGAATAACGAACGTCACTATCACTAGACGAATCCTCAATTGGCATAAAATCAATCTCATCATCACTTACATCACTTTCACTATCACTACTAAAACACCGGGAAAATGATAGTTTCCTCTTGCGAAGTTGCCCATGGTTAACACTTGCCACTCTAGAGGTGCTTGGTCCAGGGTCTTCTGTGGCCACACTGGCCACCCCAGAAGTGCTTGGCCTAGGGTCTGATGTGGCCACACTGGCTACCCCAGAGGTGCTTGGCCCTAGGACAGGTGTCGCTACCCCAGAGGTGATGGGCTGGGGGTCATCTGGGTAATTGTCGATATTTTCACTAATTCCTTGAATATTACTGGCCCCATTGGTGTCAAATCCACTAAACTCACGATCTCTATCACTTTCCTCGAATAGTAGAGTGTTAATACGACGAGGCGTGAGTGAATCACGAGGATATGCCATGATGTTGACCCAGGATGGAGCTGAATGTAACTGGTCCTACCATGTGGTACCCAGGTGTCCCAGATTTTTTGTTTACTGCGCACACTGAGTGCGCACACCCATTCTCTCATGTCTAGGCGACTCAGGCCTATCGCGCTAATTTTGAACGAATGAAAAATAAAACGTATATATACGTTTGGGGCGCTACGCGTGAACGTATATATATGTTTGGACCATTTAAGGGTTAATAAAAATACCCAAGAGTTGCACATGTGTCTAATTTATCAACATGTCGGTTCTGTGAACCATTCATCTACAATCCTGTCAGACACTGCAACTTCTTGGGATCTTAATACTTGGGAATTCTTCGCTTGTGTAACCCTTGGGCACGACCTACTTCCACATTGGGCAAATGTGACACCGACTGCTGCACCTCTCCTGCCTACGGTTTATAAGCTGCTTCTCCGCTCATATGCCGCATCCTATTCAAGATTGATGGACTGACCACATAGACTCAAGGTTGAGGGACTGATTACCTCATTCTCCTCCTGTTCTTCAAGTTTCTCCTGTGTATGGACTGATGAAGCCACTGTGTGGCAAAACGTTTCCTTAATAAAGATACCCAAGAGTTGCACATGTGTCTAATTTATCAACATGTCGGTTCTGTGAACCATTCATCTACAATCATATAGACTGTTTGTTTTGACTGTTAGCCTTCAGGTTAGATAGAAAAAAAAATTATGCACAGTTCTATGAATCATAAAACTTTCCTTTTTCTACTAAATTGGGAAGATGTACAATGCTCTAGTTAACATCAGATGAAAGATAAAGGCTAGATTATTGTTAAACCAAGCCATTTCAATGATAATGTCAGTAGATGTGGAAAAAATCATTAAAAACAAAGATGTAAACAATATCGCAAATCCCTCCTGGGTGTTTGTAGAACCATCATTCCTCAATAAGGTGGTGTTAGGAGGCAAGAACTTCACTGTTACAAAACTTAGACAGTTGGTCTTCCAAGTCTGGAGGATGAGCAGGAGCATTGCCCATTAACAGGAACACTGGAGTGGCAATTTATTATCCAGTAGGTATTTCTTCTCACTCGGGCCAAACACTTCATTGAACCATTCCAGGAAAATTTTCCTTGTGACCCATGCCCTACTATTAGCCTTACACATCACACACAAATTACTCTTGATGACACTGTTTTTCTTGAACTTTCTTGGATTTTCAGAGTGATACACCAGTAAATGCTTCACTTTGAAATCCCCACGAGCATTACCACACAACGAGAGAGTTAGCCTGTCTTTCATAGGCTTGTGTCCTGGCAGTG